CAGCGCTGCCCCGACGCTGACCGCGCTCCGGGGAGACGCCGCAGTGTTGCACCCGAACCGCCCTGGTCCGCGCGCCGCAGGCTCCTAGTGAAGCGAGCCAGCGCCCGTCCCGTCCCCGTGTGCTTTCGGGACGACTGGCGTCACGCAAGCGTCGGGCTTAAATCGGGTGGCTCTGCGGTCGCGGTGTAAATTATGAATGTGGCTGCGGCATGTGTGTGTTTTTGCTCTTGTTGATGCTGCCCGAGTCTGACGCAGCAGAACCAACAGTTGGAGGTTTTGACCAGCGAGCAAGGGAAGAGATCGGGGCCGCGGCTGTATCCCGAGAGAGATGCGGGTGCCCCTCCCCCGCTGTACGGCGTATGTGACACATCGAAATTGTGTATATTTAGGGCATAAAACTTGCCGTTTCGGTTACACCGACTTACTTTCTTACAGCGCTTAGATCAGAAATCTGGGACCAGGCAGAGTACTCTCATTAGGCGTCGCTGAAAGTCAGGAGTTACCCGGTTTGGGCTCTTCTAGAGACCCCGGGGAAGAATGCCTTCCAGGGTATTTTAGCTTTCGCCTGCAGGGTTCCTTTCCTCCTTAGAGTTTCCCTGTGTGCCCACCTACCGGCCATCTCAGATGCCAGCAGTGATGCGTTAACTCCTGCTCGGGCTCCAAACCCCTGCTTTCCCCTGCTGCCGCCTCTCTGGCTCAGGGAATTACATCGGGCCCGCAGGGGATCCAGGACAGTCTCCCTGTCTTGACGTCAGCTGGCTCACAACATTGATCACACCTGCAGAATTCCTCTGCAGTGGAACATGGATGTAACGCAACCATCCAGGGTTGGAGACTGCTGTTCTCTTCGCGCCCTGCCCTGTGGTGTGATGACAGGATTTGCGAAAGTCAAGTGTAGGAAGCATCAGTTTCGTTTTTGTTTTATTTCTGCTTAGTCTTCATGTCTTCCCTGGAGCTGCTAAATGCAGTGCTGATGGGCACTTTTGTCTCTAAAACCGGCTCAGGCCCCCACCCCGCTTTTTTTTTTTTTAGCCGCAGGGAAAACTGTCTTTTTAATACTTGAGGCATTGGTGTTTTTTTTTTTCTTTAGACTTGTTTAATTCAGAGGTGGAAGCGCAGTCCCTCTACTGATAACAGTAGGTGAACGTTATGAAGAACGTACCCTTCCATTGCTTTGTTAACTCATTTAGTCCTCAGAACCTGTGAGGTGAAAACTTACTCTGTACAGATGAGAAAAGTTAAATGGCTGTCTCTGATAGTTGTATAGAAAGAAATACTTGCTATTTTGCTGTAGTATTTTTGGTAATAAGCATTGAAATATTTCCAAGTTAGAAACTTCCTACTGATCTATTTTTTTAAATCAGTATTTCCTGCAGTCATAATCCAAAATTATTTAGTAAAGTACGTTTATGTTACATATAAGAATTGGGGTCAGATCTTTGATCATAATACCATGGGGTTATTTGTTAAATATCAGTAAAATAATTTACGTATTTAAAAATAGTTGTGAAGAAAAACGATGCATGCTTATTTTTCTTTCCCTCTATTTGGATTTTACACAGGGCAGGTGCCTCAGTTTCAATCTGGGAATTCTTTAAATGAAACTGGTTTAAAATCTTTGATCAGACACAGAAGAAAGACTCCAGTCGACAATAAGGTGGAAAAGAATGACGTCCTTAAACAGTCTGCAGAATGTCATCTATGAGCCGGTAACTGATTTCTGTAAAATCACTTTTGCTTGTGGCAGGTTTGAGAGCAAATCCAGCTGGATAGTAATTGTCCACTGCTGAGGCGGGGTAGTGGGAGCAAGAGTGGAATTCACTGCACACCAGGGAAGCAGGCACTGTGATCGGGACTGTGGTGGGGCCGGCTCGCGCAGACACAGCCCCGGAGCCGTGCAGATGCTCGGTGCGAGCTGGCCCTCTCTGTGCTCGCCGTTCCGCATCTGGGGACCCAGCCAGCCACTGTCGGGTAGCACGCACTTACTGAAAAAAATCCAGGTGTAAGTGGACCGCCCAGTTCTGAGCTGTGTTGTTTAAAGGTCAGCTGTGTAAGGTCATGTGGGGTGTCATGAATGGAGGAAACGCCACCTCCGCTGCTGGTGGGAAGGCTCAGATCATAAGACACCGTTTTCAAAGGAACGGATTTCTGACTCTACAGGTTTTACTCTTCTGTTTTAACTAGACCGGTTGATAAGTTCATGTCTCAGCTTTTCCCTCTGTCCTTCAAATACTGCTTGGTACTTGAGCAGGGAGACGTCAACAGCTGGTGCTGAGCGGGAGGAGGAAAGGTGACCGCTGTGGCCTGGCCTCAGGCTGGTCCTGGAACCCCTGCGTGCAGTTGCTGGAAATGCCAGTGTACGTCCTGGGAAGTGCCAACTTGTTTTAGTTTCACATGGTGTGAGAATCTTGGAAGTGTCTAGTTTCCATGTGTCCGAAGCTGAATCCTGAATTGTGGTCTGAGAGAGAGCTGCTGCATTTTTTTGGAAACCCCGGAGGAGATCTGGGACAGTGGGGCAGTCCTTGAAGTAAGGCCCTAAACCAGTCTTTCTGGTGTAAGTGGGTTCAGGTGTTTCGTTATTTACTTTGTATCCAGAGCTCTTTTTCCCCCTCAGTTTTAATGTCCTTGTGCAAGAGTGACGTACCACCACCTGATAAAGCGAATTCAGTTTTACCAGAAACAGCCTTCAATGGCAGTAGGTGTGTAAAGGAAGACGTGGTGGCTTTGAGGTCGGCAGGACATTTAAAATGATTTGTGCGTCTTAGAGTTAAAAACATCTCAGAGTTGCAGACTGACATCCTGCAAAGATGGGTGGCTGAAGGGTAGGCCCGGGTCCTTGAAGCAGGAGGAACGGCTGGTCGGCTTGTGCTGTTCAGTGCTGCCTGTCATCACAGAAATGCTGTATTTGAATGTTATTTGGAAAATAAACTTATGGATTAAAATCCCTGCGTACCTTGACACTAGCATAATGATGACTCCTGTAATTCTGGACTTTGCACCCTCACCTGTGGAGCTGAAACAGCGAGACGCCGACCTTTCAGCCCCTGAGGAAGGGACCCCGCTTCGGAGCAGCAGCTGCCTTCAGGGCTCCCAGCGGCCTCGTCCAAGGCAGTTCACGATGACGGGTGCCCTAAGTAAACGCCGGCTTTGCCTGGCGCTTATCTTGTTAGTGATTAGTTCAAACAGTGGGGATGTGTTTATTCAGCTTCTGCGGTGTTCTTTATCAAGCCCTGTGCAGACACAGCACTGTCACCGTTTAGTTTTTATTTCTTAGTGTTTCTGAAGTTCTGGTCCACATTGGTGGTAGACAAGTTTTGTTCATATTAATTAACTCTTGGAAAAAACAGAGTAACTTGTGTGACTGGCCTCTGTCAATTTCCCATATTTAGTCTGTTTCCATGACTAGTTCAACTGATAGATCCCAGGACTTAAAAAGTCAGGCTCGCTTTTCTTCCCACTCACATTGAATGAATAATACCAGAAGTGGCCTCCGTGAAATCTGCTGTTTGGCAACTCAGTATCAACCTGAGTAACTCACTGTTTATACATAGAGTTCTTAAGGAGGGGTGGAGTGCTGGCTGGCTGAGAAGTTATTTAGAGACTAAGCAGACTGGTGGTCGCTCCAAGTTAACAAACCACGTGTGAACATTAATCCCACTGTTCCCTTAAAGCTCTTGCTTCCACTCTCGTTAGAAGCCTTACCTCCACATCTGTCCTTTCTCCTTAGCTTTCTGAGTACCTCCTTTTCTACCTTGCGAGTTAATCTGAAAACGCAGAACAGTAAAATCTTTTTAAGCTCCGAGGGCCCTTCCAGCCTTTGTGCTCTTGTTCTTCCTTTGCTGACCGCCTTCCTGAGAGAGTCCATTTCTGCTGCCTGCATTTCCTCCCCATGGCTTTGCCCTCTGATTTTCTTACTCCCTTAACTTCTTTCTTTTCTTTACCAGTCTTGTCTTCAGCGTCTCTGCTTCTGTCAGCATCTCTGCCCATCACCTCTTGACCATGTGTAACCCGCGGTGAATCTCTCACTCTCTCAGACGACCGGCCATCCCCTCAGAGGGCTGTGAGTTCAAAACTAAACTCCCATCTTCCTTCCCGAACCAGCTTCCCTTTTTCAGTTTTCCGTTTCTCTCTGTCCGTCCATACTACCGAGCCCCAGTAGTTTGAAGACAATCTGTGTTCAGAATTTAAAATTCATTTATGTCAAACCCAGTGGCTTTTCCTTTTTTGAAAAATTATTTTAAAAATATAAAGAAAATATGTGCAAATCATTTTTTAAAATTCAAGCAGTATTTCAGGGTTTCATAAAACACAAATTTCCCTGCTCCCTTAGTGCCTGGTTTCCCCCGGAAAGGCCGTCACTTCCTACCAGCTTTGTGTGTCCCCTTCCTGAGAACATGCACGAGCACGCTCAGACACTCAGCACGTGTGTCGTGCGGCTGTGTTGAGAGTGCGTGGGCCATTGCATTGCCTCTTACGTGTCCTGTTTACTTACGTGCATGTGTCAGGCCACATGAACTGTCCTGCACCCTGCTTTTTTCCACTAAACACGGTTTAGAGATACTGGTGTCTTTAGAGCTTCCTCACTGTTCTCATGGCTGCATAATTACTCTGTTACATGGACGTACGGTGGCTTACTTAACCAGCCCCCTGTAAAGGGCTGTTCACTCTGATGGTCATGTCCAGTGCCTGTGTATGCGTCTCTGTGCACATGTGCTAGTGGCTGTTTTATTTGACTTCTTTTGGAGTCACTTGTGCATGGACAGTCACTGACCCAGGTTTTGTAAGATAAATCCATGAAAGCGGTGTCACTGGCCCAGAGGGTGTGATATCCATTCATTGTCTTTTTTTTTTTTTTTGGACCTTTCTTATTTTGCACGTTAAAGACATTGACAGTCCTCCCTGTGCTGGAACTGACTTCCTTGACACAGCGGCCCTGCAGGCTGCCGGCCCTCCTCCCCCTTCCCTGGTGAGGCCTCCAGCACGGCCTCACTTCTCATGACTCAGCAGGCGGGCACCCCGCCGGCTACGTCTTTGCAGAGTGAAGTCACAAAGGGAAAGGCACAGGGGGCGAAGCCCAGGGGAACCAGAGCCCAGTGGAGTCCCACAGGTGCACCTCAGTCTCCCAGCAGCTAGCTGGACGGCACGTGTGAAGCGCTACTCCCCAGGGAAGCGCCTCAGACTCACTGCCCAGGGTTTTTATTGAGGGCTGGCCGCGCGTGGACAGCCCCTGCCCGGCACGGACCAAAATTCCAGACTCCCGGCAGGAGGGCAGGGGTTTAGCGTAAACCATACTGTTCGCACAAGCCGTTTTGGTAAGTAACCCACCCTTCTCAGGTAGGGGGTGGGCGCCATCTCCAAATCCAGTTCCAGACACCAGCCGAGGGCCCACCTTGGAAGGAGGCCTCTTGGAGACCGCGGCCAGGTCTGCTTGGTGAACCCCTGTGCACCCCCTAATCCGACAGGCCGCTGAGGCTTTGCTCCTGACCGTGCTCTCAGTGTATCTCCCGTGATGTCGTGAGTGACTGTCTCTCCTCTGACTGTGAAGTATGAGTTCTGGTCACTCACTCAGTGTTAGCCCTGAGTCTCCCCCTCAGGGTGGTAGGCTGTCCTGCCAGCCCTTCACGCCGACAGTGTTCAGCGTGAACTCGCCATCTTCCTTCTGAGATCGCTTTCCTCCCCAGTTGTACTGCTGTAGGTAGTGGCCCCACGTGGACAGTTTCCTTTGAAGTATTTCTTGTATCTGCGTCCTCCCACCCCCTTAGTGTCTCCTGCCATCAGCCCAGATTATGTCCTCATCCCCAGGCTTGCTGGAAGTTGTCCCCAAAAACCCCCTGCCCTCCAGCTAATTTTACCCCCACTGGATTGCTGTTCCCAAACCCACTGTCAGAATTTCACTCTAAAACCTGGCCCTGGCTCCGTGTTTAACTGCTTCCTTCCTAGTCACTGTCTCCCAGGTGCGTTTTGTCTTCTCCTGCCTCTGCTTTTGTGAGGTGACATCTCTGCCTGAACTGGCTTCCTCTCTGCCTAACTTCTTCCCCGCTCACGCCGTGCCTCCTTCCTAAACTGTCTTCGGCCGCCTCAGTTAGAATTCTTTATACAGTTTTCTGAAGCATTTATTTGACACCTACTGCCCCACTTTTTTGTGGTGGAACAGTCAGGGTTTGTAGTTGCAAGCACAGAGGCCAGTCTCCAACTGACGTAGAAAAGGGATGTGCCGGGTGGCACTGAGGAGTCTCGGGTCTTTGGTGGGCAGGACTGAAGAGCCAGGCTCGGCAGCCAGACAGCCACAGGCAGCAGCCCCGCCCACGCTCCTGTCACACCGGCTGCCGCCACTGGTCACGTCACAGGGGCCTGACTGGCTCGGGCACGGGGCTCTGGGCGGCTGCAGGTGAGGTGAGAGGCTTAGGGCCCGGGAAGGGCAGTGGGGTTTGTGACTGACCCGGGGGGGGGGGGTGCTGAAAGCAGCCCGCCTGAGCTGGCGTGAGGTTGGGCGTGACCCGGCTGTTG